GTTGAAGACGGGCAAGATGGAGAACGAGATCGTTATGGAGAGCCATTTCAAACCGATCGTCGAACCGCTGCGGCGCATTGCCAAACGCGCCGAGCGAGACGAGATCGAGCGAGACAAGATCAAACGCGGGACGATAAAGCGAGACGCGATCGACGCCTCGCCCGCGACGACGAACGTCGAGGGAAAATGGAAGGAGGAAGCGCTGACTCCCGCTCGGGAAAAAACCTAAGGTGAAACGAGTACGAGCGCGGCGACGATTGAGCGCCGTCTCTACTCCGTTAAACGAGTATCTCGCCGAAAGAGATCCGTTAGCGCAGGGCGAAATCGAGCTGGAAGTGTTCGAACTCAAGAACCTCGAATCGCCCTCGATGCTCGAAATGTCCGTTAGACAAACTCTGCGAACTCCTCAAGGTCGCGAAACGTTGCACGGTCGGCTAGGACCGTTGGGACGAAAGTATGTGGGGGCTCTTCTCAGCGGGGAAACGTCGAACGACATCGATCAAGTTTACGGGGTATACATCAGCGAGAACGGTGCGATGCTCGGCGACAAACGATTCGACGTAGATTCGGACGACTCCATACTTATAGATGGAGTCAGATACGGTATCCTCGGTACCCCCGGTTTGTATGAATTGATTTTCATGAAAGTTCCCAACCATCTCGCTTACACGGAAAAGGATAAACTAACGTACAAGAGCATATTGTTAACAACAAACGCTCGTAGACGCAACCACGACGCTAGTAAATCTGTCTTAGGGAATAAGGGAGACAAGTACAAGGAATCGATTACGTTCATTGAGACGATCCGAACGAATTAGTGGATCGTCTGCGATTACTAGACGCTTCGCGTCGAGCCGGCAACGACGCTCACGAGAACGAGATTCTATCGATAATCGAGGAGCTTCGCGAGATGGAAGCGGTCGTATAAATCGAACCGTCGCGTCGACGGCCGCCGCAGTCGTACGCGGGATTCGCGATGTCCGTGAGCAAATTCGGTACACCTCTAAAGAACCGCGGCTACGACGCGAAGACCGGAAGACTACGCCCGGCTATCGAGTCCCTGCAAAATTACGTGCGCGACAACGCGCTGTGTCTGAGCTCTTCCGTCGAGTATGACGCGAGAGAGCGCGAGATAAAACGTCTGGCCCAGCCGGAGGAGGACACCGACGCGAAGAGCAAGAGCTACGTCGAACTCGCGTTGCGAGCCGCAAGAGAGGACGAGATCGGGTATCGCGAGAGCGGGAAGGGAATCACGTCGCAATTGAGAAAAGACACGGACAAGGCGGGGTAGGGCGTCATCCTACTGTTCATAAGACACGCTCTAAGTAAACAGATAGACGCCGTGAAAAATTCCATTTCGAGAATAGAAGCGAGCGCTAACGCCCTAGGTAAATGGATCGATGCTTTGGATAAATGGATCAATGCTTTAAGCGAACGGATCGATGCCGCGAAAAATACAATATCGCTTAACGCGGCGGAATCCTCGACGAAGAGCGCGAGCGACCGTAAGATACTGTTTAATCAGGGTAAAATAATACAGGAACTAACCCAAAAACCGCGCGTCGCGGCGAATTCCGCGGCGAAGATACGGGAATTGGAAAATCCAACGTCGCGATTGACGAGAGACGCGAACGAGCTATCGGGGAGAGTGAAGAAACTGGCGAAGAGTCGCGGGAACAGCGACGACGCTCGAGGTAACAAACCACTCGAGAGAGCAACCTCGCCGAACGTCGTTCTCGAGAGAAAAAGGAGAGAATGAGCGCCGAAAAACGAAGACTAGTCGAGGAGTTGCACGCGCCCGCGAGAAGAAATTTCCCGCGTCGTTGCGTCGCGGTGCGCGGGTACGACGACATGTGGCAGGCGGATGTGGTCGAGATGCGTCCTTACGCGAGACTCAAAAGGCCACAACTACATACTCACCGTTATCAACGCGTTGAGCAAATACGCGTGGGTCGTGCCGCTCAAGAGCAAGAGCGCCAACGAGATTACCCGAGCGTTATCCAAGATAGTGCGAGACTCTAAGCAGTACCCGAAAAATCTGCAGACCGATAAAGGAAAGGAATTCTACAACGCCGAAGTGCGAAAGTTTACGGAGAAGCGCGGAGTGAATCATTACTCGACGTACTCGGTGATGAAGACGTCGATCGTCGAGCGATTCAATCGCACGCTTAAAAACTCCATGTGGAAGCACTTCACGCTGAACGGAACGTACATGTGGATCGACCAGTTACCTCGGCTCATTAAAGAGTACAATACGCGAAAATATCGCACTATAGGTATGAGACCCATCGACGTGACTCCAGCGATCGCCGATAAATTTTTAAATACGGTGTAAGCAACGTAAAGATCGCGGCTCCGGCGAGATTCAAAGTAGCCGATCCGGTACGCGTCAGCAAGTTCAAGACGATCTTCGAGAAAGATTTCACGCCCAACTGGACCACCGAGATCTTTCGAATAACCAAGATACAACGGACCAATCCCGTGACGTATCTGCTGAAGGATTTGCGCGGCGAACCGATCACAGGAAGATTCTACGAACACGAGTTGCTGCGCGTCCGCAATCCCGACGTATATCATGGAGAAGGTGCTACGCCGAAGGGGCAACGAGGTTTACGTGAAATGGCTGGGAATGGACGAGTCGCACAACTCTTGGATAAATAAAGCGGCTGTATTACAATAAAAATGTAAAAATTTTACTAAATAAACCGTTATTTGTAAAATAAACTATGTTATAATTTTAAAATATATTTTATTAAATGAGAATAAACTAATAAATGTTTACAAATATATCATACGAAGGAGACAAATAAATGAATGTCCATCGATGTTTCGAATCCCAAAATTCCAAATCGAAGAATACAATCTAGCGATATAAAGCTTGTATTTTTCGATCTCAAACTTGGAGACACGTATAACGAGTAATAATGCGATAGTAATAATACGCGGAATATATAAAACATACTATGTTATCATTTATAAAAAACAAATTATGTTATTATTAGCGCAAAATGCGCGTTCTTCGCGACAATTCGTAGAATGTTCGCCGATGTTTCGAATCCTAAAGTTGCAAGTATACAAGTTTTGTATCGCCGTTTCGTTCTTCGCTAGACGATATAAATCTGGTGTACTTCAACTTGAAACTTTTAGACGCGTATAACGAGTAATAACGCGAATTTGCGCAAAAGGCACGTTTTTCGCGCTTCGCGATAATTCGTAGAATGTTAATCGATGTTTTCTCATCCCGAAATTTCGAGTCGAAATATACAACCTTTTCTTCGACTTCGAAACATCGGGATTCGAAAACTTGGGTTAAAAACGCGCGTTTCGGTCCTTCTCGAACCATCTTTGGCACAATCGCGAAATATATGGAATATACTACATCGAAAATGCGATAGTAATAATACGCGGAATATATCAAATATACTATATTATTTATAAAATATACTATATTATTTATAAAATAACCTATGTTATTATTTATAAAATAACCTATATTATTATTTATAAAATAAACTGTTATATTTATACTAACAATAAACTACCGAAGTTTGAACGTTTTAAGAAGCATCTCCGAGAGCGTCATAGATAGAATGGCGAACGCGCGTCTCGCAAAATTACGAAGTACTTACGAAGAAACGCGCGATCTCGCGAGTTCAATTCTCACGTTTGTTTATAAATATTCTTGCGATTTTTGCGAGACATGCGTTCGTTATTCTCTTCTTTCGCGCTCTCGGGGTATTTTATTAAAATAAACTATATTAAACGTGAATAATATTTATTACATTCTCGATATACGTTTTTTTTGCTCCTTACAGCGGTATTCTATAATGCCCCCATGGTAAAGTATCCGTAGTTCCAGGTATCACGTATCACTTGTCGTCGTGCGGACTGAGCGCGACCTTCGACTCCGACTCCGTGTACACCTCGTGTAACTTGGATCTTACGCAGGACTGCTCGCGCGTCATCTCGATCTCTCGTCGAAGACAGCGCGCGTAATCGTCGAACGTTATCGTTCTCGCGACGACGCCGCTCTTGACGCCCTTGATCTTCTTCGTGTCACCTCTACCGTCGACTCGCAGCGCGTACATCTTCGCTCTGAGCCTGACGAATTCCGTCATGATCGCGCCGGTGTTCTCGTCCTTCATCGCACCCGGCACTCTCTTGTTAGCGAGAGGCATGCTGTATGCGTTGTCCGTCGCGTAATCGCTCGTGTCGAATCTATCGATGTTGTGTTTCATATCCTCGTATATATCCTCGCACTCGACGCGATGGATAAGACTGTCCGTGTCCGTGTACATTATCCTACACTTGTCTCGATACAACGGTAACATTCTCGTAGTGAAATTCATACAAATGAATCTTGGACACATCGAGGATGCACATACTCACGTAGACCGGTTTGTCAAACTTAATCTCGAGTTTGCGCAATTCCACGGCTACGAGATCCTCCGCGAAGACGCTCCTGCTGTGAAAGTTCGGCTTCGCGATTATTGCCTCCGCGCCGTATTGCCCGTCCCATCGGGTCACGAGCCGAACGTCTGAGTGATTGTGCACGTTCTCCATGGTCTTACCGAACACGGCGTTATTCATCAATTTGTACAAATTTTTCTCGAACTCGTTTCTCGCGCTAATAACGCAGTCGCGTGTTCAGTTCGATGTATCCGCGCAACCATGAAGATTGCGCGATTCGGAATATTCTGTGTACCTTCGCAACGCGTAATCCGTGTCGAACGCATTGCTGCAGATTACGATAATACGTCACGTAACGGTCCTTATCGTACAGCGTGGCGAGAAGTTTCTCCTGCCGTTTTCCGGGCGGCTTATCGCGCGTCGGGCAGAACGGCAAGTCCGCGTGAGAGTCATGAAGGTCGGACGGATACGCAAGGTCGACTTCAAGAATGTAACCGATAGGCGAATTCGGTGTCACGGCCATTAAGTCGACGCTCGTAACATCGTCGACCCATCGAAAATCCTCGTAAGGCAACGATTGACACATCGTACTAATTATTATTTATATTGGAATACATAAGATAAGACGGTTCCGATGGATCGTGCGACTGCGCGTACTTATTATTAGCGCGCGCGTATCTATTGAAACATTGACTTAGCCCGCCGCGTATTCCGCATTCCACGAACATCACCATATCGATGTCGGTTAACAACTCGAATCGAACACCCGTATGCTTCAACATAGAGTCCCACGTGTATCCGGGTAACGTGTAATAGCGCACGGGATCTAAACCGTAACTCCACATACACGCGTCGCGAAAATTTTTGAAGACATCGGCCAATAGAAGAACGTCGGTTTTTAAATACAAATCGCTATAGTCGCCCAGAATCTCGACGCGAAACCGCTCCCAGATTCTTATCGCGTGCGTGTAATCGCTCTCGGATATCGCGTCACCGGTCTGCGAACTATGGAACGCCTCGCGCGGCGGTAGACGAGTCTCTCGCAACTTATCGACGTCGTCGACGTACTCGTACGGAAATACGCCCTTTCGCGCGAGAAGCTCGAAATCGGCGTCGTCGAGATCGGAAAATTTCGAACGCGCGATTCTCAGCTCGCTCTTATCGAGATACGACGCCAATTGTCCGACGCGTCCTCGACATTCTTCGTGAAAAAGATATACGTTTCTTTCGTCAGCGGTAACAGTTCGACGCTGTCGGAGAAAGCGTTAGCCATGTCTCTGATGATGAAGTGCGCGTCGTAGCCCGATAAATTGTGAAAGAATATAGGAATAACGTACGTCTCCTTATAATTTAGATTGCAATTCGAATGCGCGGGACCTCTGTATCGCCCGGTCAGGTGACAGTGATCGCGCACGCAAGCGTCTTCCGATTCGAATGGTCTATCGCACACGCGACAGTGCGTCGCGCTCATGAATCTCTCCCACTCGTCCGGCGTAAGATCCGTCATAGGCGCATCTGTGTCGAGAATAGTCCTCGCGCGAAGCGCCAGATCGTACCATTCCCGGACGAACCACGATACGCAATTCTCACCGCGATAGGTTCTGTACGTCGAGCTAGCGTCGTCGAGCGCGCATCGCGCGTAATATCCCGCGCTATAGACTTTATGATGCTGAACAATGGACGTGTTCGATGTTTTCCTCTCCCCCTTCTTCTCCAGCGCGCATTCGAGATCGGCGTACACCACGAACGGAAGTCGCTCCTTTCTAACGTAGTTGCGAAACTTTAACCATTTGTCGTCTTCGGTGGGAAGGACTATAGCGCACTCGTTCATTCTTCCGCAGTCCGCGCTGTGAGCCGATAACTTATCGCCCATTCGAAAATAATGCATACATCTGCGACATAACATTTATTTTTAAATCGCGGGCGTTATCCATATCACGCGACAAATTTCTTTTTCGGCTCGTACTCACCGGTCGCATATATGCGCTTTATGTTGCCTACCGCTTCATTTGCGAACCGACGAGTCGGGACAGATTCTTGATCCACGCGAAGTGGGCCGAGTTACCTTGTCGCGTCGTATTGCTTATACACAGCAGAGTAACGTGTCTCTCCTTCTTATCGCCGGTGAGACGCAGAGGAACGATACGGCAGCCGCCTTTCCCGTCCTTCTTATTCCGAACGGTGTACACGTTAATGGATATGTCGTTAATACGCTCAAATCTAGTAATTCCGTTCAAACTCATGGGAAACTCGACGCCCTCCAGATTCAACACCATCGAGTAATGAGGATACCGTGAACTTCTTTCCGCGTGCTTTTCGACCGGATATAGAGCGGCGACCACAGCCCATGCAAAACACGCGTCGTCCGTAGGTCGTACGTTGATCACCGCTCTTTTCAACATGATCTTTCGCGGTATCTCGATGTAGCATCCGGCGCGCATAGGATTGTACCTATTCACCTTTAGATTTAGTATCCGCGATAACGCCCATCCGCTATCGCGCTCCTAAAACTCCTTCAGCGAGGCTAGAATAGCGTCGATCACGCGCTTCTCGTACCACTCTCGTAGGTCGGAAGTGGGTAGAAGCGAATGATTCTTCGTGGCGATGGTCTTAACGCCAATCTTGTCGCCCGAGACGAACTCGCCGTTGAACGCGATATTAACCTTAACGCTATCGTATTCACCCATAACGTCGCGCACTCGATCGAGCACGGTATCCCCGGCGTCCTCGAGAAACCGCAGAGGTTCGATGTAATCGAAATTGATAACCGCGCCGGTTAAAACGCGCCTAGAAAAAGCCGTCTCGATCTCGGACCACGAGAATCCCTCGCGCTTCTCGACGCCACCTTCCACGCGTTCGAAACGTCGACGTAGATCGTCTCTCGCGCCCATCAATTGAACGGTTCGAGCAATCAGAGAATTGATTGCTCCGGTGGATCTTCCCCGGCGCTCGCCTCGACTTTCCTCTCACAGAGACTCGAGACGCTCGTCGCACCGTCACGCCCACGCGCGATACGCGTCCACCGACGCGACGTTCCGCGCGCTATCGAAAAGATCGCGCTCCTTCATCGTTTTTCGATTCATCACTCGTTATTCAATGGACGCCAAGATTTTTTACAGATAAACCACGTATCTTCCTCGTCGTAATCCTCGATGTAGAACAACGCTCTCGTCTCGCAGCCGCTGCACCAATTATTCGAGACGTCGAAGACTTAGTCGATGAGATCGCAAGCGCGCACTATCTCGCTGAGCACCGTTTTCTTCACGTGCGTCGATACTCTTTTCGTGAAACTCTGTTCGCGCGAGCAATCCGCGCAATATCTCTCGTTCTCCTCAAAATAATTTCCGTTCTCAAATTGACAATCGAACTTGTAAAAGCAATGCACGACGTGATTCACCTCCGACGAAAATTTCGGAACGCCGTATCGCCGCTTTCAATTGCGATAAAGCAGATAGCCGTCGGCTCCGACGTTCGCGAAGGGTTTGTCGAATCGTGCGTCGCTCACCTCTCGCACGAATTCTTCCGCGAAGCCGATCTTTTCTCTACAGTGCAAACAGTCTTCTATATAACATTTGCGCAGCTCCTTTTTCAAACAATTTGATATTTCCAATATCTATATATCTTCGATGCTTCTAATTACAGCTTTCACAACTTTTCCGGCTCGTCTCTTCCGGCTCCTAAAGCGTCCGGTATGCGCTTCATCGCGTCGCGAATATCCTCGAATCTCGTTACTTAATTCGGGTCCCTCCCGAGCCAGATGCCGGACGAATCGGTCCGCGATAATAATTTTCCGATCTCGTTCATCAGGCAGATGGGACTGTATGCCGACGGCTGCCCGCTGGTTTGCCCTCCTTCTGAAGAAGGACCAGCTTTGATCTCCTCCAGTCTGGGGAGAAGACTCCTTCGCGGAGACATCTCGAAAACAGGTGCTTCATTTGCTCCTGCATTTCCCTAGAGGCCAGAGTCTAGGCCTTCCCTGGGATGCCGTCCGGGCCCGGTGCTTTCTTTGTTTTGAGTTTCTTGACAGCATCCCTGATCTCCCCCTCATCGACCTCCAATTTCTCCGATCATTCGTGCTCTCTTTGGATGGTCGGAGGGAGACCTTCTCCTCTGTCTGGAAACAGTGTTTTCACCATCGTTTCTAAAAATTGGGGGTCGACACTTTCCGTGACTGGAGGCGCCCATGGTCTTAATTTATTTATAACTAACTTGTATGGGCACTCCCACGGATCCTCGTTGAGAGAAGAGATCAATTCTTCCCAGGCTCTGGCTTTGGATCTTGGCCGCTCGTAAGGAGTCTCGTGCGTCCCGATACTCTCTGTATGCTTCTTCTGTCCTGGCGGCGACTCCGCTTCTCTTAGACTTGGCGTACTGCCTACGTAAGTGGGCGGAGGTCCGCCGTAACTCCGCAATTTTCTCCGTCCACCAGTACTCCGCCCGTCTCGGGGAGGGGCGACTCCAAAGCATTGATGCATTACACGCATCTATCATGATGTCCCGGAGTCATGTTGCTTCCTCTTCGACACTTCCCCTCCCCCCTGATTCGTCCTCTGCCCATGTTCCCGCCAGGACTACGGCCATCAGGTGATCCTCGTCTAATTTCCTGAGGGCCCATCTCCTCTGTGTATTCTCTTGCAGACGGCGGCGGATGAGCACCTGCATGGGGGTGACAGCCAAGCTGAAGGTAATATAACGGTGGTCCGAAAGCGTCTCCAGCTCGACTGCCACCTCCCAATCCCTAATCAGTCGCGCAGCAGAGGGGGTAGCCCACGTAAGATCCACGATGGACTCCCCCTGCTGCCGCACACAGGTGCTCCTCGATCCGACGTTGATGAGACGTAAATCGAGTTCCGCCGCCCAATCCTCCACGGCCTTGCCCCTCTGGTTTGGTCGCAGAGAACCCCACGTGACTGACTTCTTGTTGAAGTCCCCCGTGACCACTGTGGGACGAAGGAGGCATCATTGTATGATACACTCCCTCACTCTGTTCAGGCGCTCTTGTAATAGGGCGCGGCTTAGACTCGGAGGAAAGTATACTCCTATCATCGCAATGGTCCCCCAGGAAACTGCCACAAAGTTTTCCCCGGCCTCTATAAGAGAGCACGGAGAAGAGTTGCATGTCTGCCGTTACGTTATAGCTACAGAGCCGGCATGATTTAAATTTGATTGGAGGACTCGGACTGCCATACTATTTGTTGACAGATCCGGCCTCCATCGATGTCTCCTCTTGCGTCATGGCGATGTCGACGTCCATCTGAGCCTTTTTCTTCTTCTTTCTTCTCCGGTTCATTGATGCTTTTTTGGGGGAGGTTCGAATAACCTTCCCCTGGATCTGACTCCGTCCCTCTGTCTTCTATCGTTCTTTTAGACGATTTTGGACCTGGGTTGTACGCCCTCTGTTTTACCGCAGGTCCCTCTTTTGTCTGAGAGACCGCGGCAACGGGGGCGTCCGCGGTTTTCTTAGCCACAGTAGTGGCTGTCATTTTAGCCGCGCCTCCTACCTCTAACTTCTTCTTACGTTTTTAAGACGCAGATGCGCAGGCTTTGCTGCCCGCTCTGTAATTTGCGAGTCTCCCCAGGTTCGTACAGACTGGGCACTTGGGAGAGACCTCGCAATCCTTGGCCATATGGCCAGCGTCTCCGCATCTATAGCATCATTGACTGCGATCAACTCCGCTACTGCAGTTGAAATGCACGTGCCCCCTTACCAACCATTTAAAACATTGGAAGGGGCGTGCCTCCAGCATTTCTACTCGGGCCATGATCTAGCCTATTTGGATCCTATCAGCAGCAACTATCTTGTTTGCGGCCGCCACTGGACATTGTACCCAGACTGAGCTTAGGCCTTTGGAGCTTTCCTGACGGCTCCAACCTTCACCTCTAGCTGTCCACAGGAGTCTATCTCTGCAACAGCTTGCGCGATCTCCCAACCCTCTATCTCAAGGTCGCGAATTCTCAGTTCCGCTTTCTTCGTGGGGCGGTAGACTGTTAGACCCTTCCTTCCCTTGTAGGACTTCCCTCATCCGGGAAGCTAAGATCTCTGCCTTTGCATTTCCTTCCTCCCCTGGTTAGGAGGGCCAGTCAAAGCTTCTCGCTACCTCCTCGTACTCTCCCTGTGGGCACGCAACAGAGACAGCTGCGGTTCGAGGGATCTTCCTTTTCCTTGCATTCGGTGGTTTGACCGCCACCTTCTGCCCGTTGTCCTTTGTTGGTCCCCCTTTACGAGGGGTAACTTTAGGAGTTCCTCTTTTTCCTTAAGGCGCGGCCGGTTGCTTTTTGGCGCCGGCATAAGTCGCTTTTTTCCCCCCCTCTCTCATGACTTCCGCATAGGTCTTAGTGCCTGTGGGGAGAAAAGAGGGGGATTTCCCTTCCTGACTTTCCCACTTCTTGTGACCACCGTCTAGAACTCTGCTTCTGGAGGGTGCGACGAAGTGGGAGGGTTTCCTCCCGCGGGATGAGTGGATGAGGATTAGGGGCTTATAGTCCCCTTCCCGTGATTCTTCTCGGCCCGTTGCTTGGCGGTATTGGGGAGGCCTCTGGTTTCTCCACCGCTGTCGTCCTTTCCTTTGTTTTTCTTGCTCTTCCTCTGAGGGGGAGGCAGGACCTTTCCTCTGTTGATTGCAGATGTCGGATTTAAACCGAAGCTGCTTCTCAACTTCTCTCTCTCTCTCTCTGCTATGAGAGAATTTATCTTCTCCGTCAATTCCTCCTCCAGTCTTCTCGCTGTTCCATCCATCTCTGTTTGGGATGCAGGAGTGGGAGAAGGAGGGGAAGTGATCTTGACTTTCGGAGCGCTTGGCGGTGTTTTGAAGACCCTAAGAGGAACCTTGGGGACCTTAAAGGCTGTCTCAGTTACACTGCTTGTAGATGGGAGTGGTTCTAACTCCATCATTTCTTGCTCCTCTCTATTGTTTCCTCTCTCCTTTCTGGAATCGGAGGTCTCTTTCTCTCCATCACGCAACTCTCTCTAACTACCACGTTGGAGATAACTCTTGGGAGTTTTTGAGGTTGCGGGGCCTCTGCTGAAGACTGGGTGAGTAGGTATTGCATTCTCTCCTTCGTCTCTTTCATCTTCTGATTTTCGTAGCGGAGTGAGCACAACTCCCTACGGAGGAACTCCATCTCCGTCTCCGCTACTACAGCATCTCCTTGCTGCGCGCGAGTCGCTATGGTGGTGACTGCCGCAGAAATCGTCTTTGCCGCCTCCCTTAATCGACGAACATTCGTGCCCTTTAGGTCCTTTGAGCATTCGGCAACTTTGTCGATTATTGCCGCCTGCTTAAGGGCCACCGCTGAGATCCTTAAACTCTTTGACAATCTCGACCTCCGACAGCAACTTGGATCTCGCCCTTGTATCGGACGGTCTGATGGTGGGATCGTATATTTCCAGCTTTCGTCGGAGTTCCTCCTCTTCGGCGCGTTTGGCGTCTCTCTCTTTCTT